TTGGCCTTCCGATGACACGGTTAGGAGAGTAGAGGTATTAGATTTGACTTATGTTAAGAAAGGTAGGGGTAGACCTAAAAAGACTTGGTTATAAAATATTAGGAATGACCTTTCTTTATTAGATTTAAATGAGAATTTGACTTTTAATAGGACACAATGGAGAAAAAGGATTCATGTAGTCGACCCCACGTAGTGGGATAAAGGCTTGATGTTGTTGTTGTTGTTGTCTTGTTCCAGGCGAGAGTATACACAACAATATAGTAAAAGAATAAAACATCTTAGCAATGTACGTAAATCCGTTACACTAAAAAATGATTGAGAGAGAGAAAAATACCAAAAGTTTTTTTTACGTGGAAAACCTAATAAGGGAAAAACCATGAGGTTTGGCCCAAATGAGTAAGTTCCACTAAGTTTGAATGTATCACAAAGCTTGATTCGCCCCTTTACTTGGAGACGATGGAATTACAATAAAATGGAGAATTGTGCAAAAGTATGTTGATGGTCAATGAACAGGCAGAATTTCGGTGGTGGTTGACGAACAGGTGAAAGCCTGACAGTGGTTGAGAATAACTCCAGTAGTGGTCGACTAACAGGCGGAAGTCTGGTGATGGTCAACGAAAGAGCGGAGGTCTGACGGTGGTCGGGAAGAACTCCAGCGATGGTCGGCGAATGGGCGGAAGTCTGACGGTGTTCGACGAACAGGCGGAAGTCTGGCGGTGATCGAGAAGATCTCCGTGGTGGTCGACAAACATGCGGAAGTTTAGTGGTGTTTGACTAGCGAGCGGAGGTTCGACAGTGGTTTGGTAGAACTCCGGTGGTGATCGACAAACAACGGTAGTCCGACGGTGGTTGGTGACAAGCAAACTCCGACAATCTCTTCCTTTCTCCTCCCTTCTTCACTCCCCTGTTTTGAGTGTGGCATGACTTGTAAATATGGAGAGAATCAAGGTTAAAATGTAAGTGGTTTGAATAGACAACCGATATTGATCCCCTTGATTGTGGATCATTTACTAGTCATTTAAATGCTTTAATGATACTAGAATTTAGTGATCTTAGGCTCTTTCGATTCGTCTCATCGAGCCGCTCGATTCTACTATAAGCATCTCATGTTTAGAATTCGTTTGGTAATCCCAATTATAATTTGAACCTTTTAAAGTGCTTTGAACTCTTGATTTTGGCTCATTTGGGTTTAAATTGAATTGATTTTGATGTCGTTGGGTTTGTTTTTTTCTAAAAGTTCTGTTCTACTATGAGTTTGCTAAAATAGGAGTTTGAATGATCCCAAATTTAATTTTTTAGAGCTTTCAACTCAATTTTACTTCAAGATTCGTGCTGGACCAATTAAAAAAAAATAGGTTCTTTCCTCTCTCCCTCTGTGCGTGTAATTTAAAGCATTTCTGCGTTCGGTCACCTGACGCAATAATTTGCCCTGTGCGTGTATATATATATATATAACTCATTTAAAGCCTCGTTTTCGGGTTCCTCTACTGTTACAAAAAATCTTCTAAATTATTGAGCTGGCTCCGCCCTAACGGTATATTCTCTCTGCTCTGGCTGTTCGCTAATTCGCTTTGACATCCTCGTGAGTTTGTTCTTCCTCTCCCCTCTCTCTCGTTTTCGCTGCGTCTATTTCTCTCTCTCCTCGTGTCCTCCAGTGGTGATTAGTGCTTTTTTTTTATACCCTAATTAAAGAGCCTGTTTTGCTTTTGGATGCACAAAGCTCGGATCTTTCTTCTCTTCTCCTTTAAAAACGAAGAAATATGAACTATGTGGAGTATAAAGTTGCGCTCTTTATCAGTCTGGTGAATCTTGAAATTTGGCTACTTGGAATATTCAAAGAGAAATTAGACTCGGTAGCATTCTTTTCATTGCTTCTATACAGTAGAGTGAGCTCAACAAATCAATCTACTTTCCAAATTTTCCAGTCTGGAGATAAGGGGTGAAACTTGGCATTCATAAAACCCTTATTAGGATATTTTTATCGAACATATGGAGAGCTTTGACCAATAAGCATTACTTATTGTGCTTTCAAGTAATAAAAGTAAATAAAAAAGACATATTGAGAGCTTTTTCATTGAGTACATCATGAATGCATTTCATCTTGGCACATAGTAGAATAATGTTAACAAATACCAAAAATTTATGCATTTTTAACGAGTTATCTCTTTTCTGTTGATATTTTCTGTTCTTCTGTGTTTCCATTTGCCATTGACAAGGATAATTAACTTATATGAGTTTATCATCAACTTTCTCTTTCTGCAAGATTATTTCAGCTTTTATTAGCATTTGACATAATTATGGTAGGAGAGATGTCATCGTCAGTTCTAGCTTTATCCCAAACTTTGTTGGGTCAAGTTTTTGAATTCTCCTCACCCATTCATTCTATTTGAGTGCTACTTCTGTACTAGTTCTGTTTTGTGTAATTAATTTGTTATAACTTATTAGAGTGGTAGGTGAGCTGTAAAAGCTATATAGTTGTGGGAATTTGTCTTTTGACAGTTGACACCATTCAGAATTTTCTCTTGCAAGTCAGGATGTTGCTGCTTCATAAAGCCATATAGTTAGATAGTTATTCGAAGAAAACTCTTCTATTTGCAAAATTTTATTCTCAAGACCGTGTGGTTTTCTTTTGTTAGATATGCACTACAGGAAAATCATCAATTACCGGCGGCAATTTCCGGCACTTAAGTTAAGTTTTCCAGCATTTTACAAACCGCCGGAATAAACCGCGTAGGAAAGAAATTCCGACGGCCATTTTCCAGCGGCTACGACGCCGGAAATGTCCGACAACAAAACCGTTGGCGTCCGCCGGTAATACCAGCGATCATTTGACCGCTGGTAAACAGCGAATTTCCTGTAGTGATGGTTCTTATTCGATTTTGTTGTTTAACTATTTGGTTGAAAGTAGTATTGTTTTATGTATTTTACTGAGATCCAAGATCTCTTCTTTTCCACAAAGCTTTGCTTTGATTCATCAGCAAAGCTTTTTTATCTTGTCTGCAGCAAAGTGATGATTGCCATTTTAAACAAAACTGGGACTTTTTTTGGTTATTCCTTTAAGTTCCTTTTATTATGTTCTCCATTTTATTAAGTTTATGGACATATGCTGGTTAAAGTATTCTTAATTTAAGGCTTAGCTTTTTTTCTTTTTTTTCCTTTTAGATGCCTATTTCTGTTACCTTGGACTAGATGTGTATGGCAACTCACCTCTTTGACAGCTTTTTAACTATGCTTGCCATATTGCAGATCCAGTTTGGTGGTTATCTTTTTCCAATTACTGGCATTTCAACTTCATGCATAAGGCATAGCTGTTTAAGATGCTTTCCATTGGAAGATTGCAGACAAATATTCTGCCCATCGTTATTTGTTTTTCATGTTTGCCAGGTATTCCCCATCTATTCTTTAATCATTCACAAGGAATCATTTCTTTTCCCTAAAGAACATGTAACCACCATATCTTGTCTGGTTCTTGGTAGTTTTCTACATTTTAATGGTGACATGGAATCTTAATTAAGGCTTCGTTTGGGATGGCTTTCTTACAGCTTCTTAAAGCAGCTTTCTAGTATAAAAATTTTAATTTTTAAATTAAAAAGCTGTTTTAAGAAACAATGAAAAGCCGTCCCAAACGAAGCCTAAATATAAATTTCAATATTCAAATTTTCTCTTTTTGTTAGAGTATATTAGTTTATAATTGCTTCCAAATTTTTTTTCTTATTTAAATTTTCATCTTTGCTTCAATTCAACATTTTTTAATTTCCATGTCAAGCTTTATCATAGTGATTTTGATGGTTGAATGTTCAATATTAACTCCTAAAACACGCAATTCAGTAAATTCTTGACTAACTATTACTGTTTTATTGGTTTTAACAGTTATAATAAAATTTGGCAAATCAATGCTTTGCTTGCTGCAGGCATATCATATGCTTCACATGTGAAGGGTGACTTGGAGGCATTCTTACCTGGTGGTATGGCTTATATAAGCTTAGCTGATGGAAACACCAATTCAATAGGAAATTTTTGTGTGGCAATACAAAATGCTGACCCTACTGCACTAAAGTTAGGTACAGACTGGGCTTGTGGACCTGGTTTAGCAAATTGCAGTTCTATACAGCCAGGTCAGCCTTGTTATGTAGCTAACAATCTTGTAGCTATCGCTTCTTATGCCTACGATGCATATTACCAAGCTAGTCGAGCCAAAGGAGGGACATGCTTCTTCAATAACACAGCTACACTTACTACCAATGACCCGAGTAAGTCTTTTTATTACAACAAAAACATCAAGCCTTTGTCCAACTACGTGGAGTCGGCTACATGAATCCTTTTTCGCCATTGTGTCATGTTAAAAGTCAAATTCTCATTTAAATCTAATAAAGAAAGATCATTTCTACTATTTTATAACCAAGTCTTTTTAGGTCTACCTATGTCTTTCTTAACATAAATCAAATCTAATACCCCAACTTTTCTAACCAAGTCTTTTTATTACTTGATATGTTTTTTTTTTTCTTTTGTGAGAATGTTGAAATGTTTATACATTGGTTTGGCTAGTGTGATGATTTTGGCTTTGTTTATGAAATTATAATTTGGCCAGTTATGTTGTATTTATATTGGATGTTGCATAGTAAAAATGGTTAACCGATTTGATCATGATAAGAATAAGAATTATAAGATGGATGTGGCAAAACTAGATTGAGGAATGATTATATAAAAGGGATGGTGAGAGTAACATCTATTAAAGGTAAGACAGTGAATAATAGATGTCAGTAGTTTGAAAATGTATAATGAAGGGTAGAAAATACTCCGATAATATTAGTGGATAAATTTTGTTCAAGGACTAAGAAGCAAAATGGGTACCAAAGATAATCTTGATAAAAATTGCTAGAAAGATTTGCTTAGAATGGTTTTGACACCTCATACACCATTTAGCAAGAATGATTGATGCGTGAGGATTTATGGAACCAACTGCAGAACAGTAGGATAAGGCTAGTGATGATGGTAATGCTATTACGTTCATGGCATATTCTTTCAAGGTGCTTGAAACAAATTAAGGTTTATAAAAGTTTCTTTCAGTGAAATAATCTCCTTGATGTTACTAACAACAGCATATTTACAGCCTATTATCTAGGCTAATATAAGCTTAATGTAATCTTCTATCAATATTTTTCACCATCAACTCTTTTACCATAAACAAAATCTAGCAAAGCAATCCTCAATAATGGTAGTTTTTGAATATATTGTTTAGAACCCTTTGTGTCTCTATGGCTTATCAAAAAATTCAAAACCTTCCTTTTAGTGTTGCTTAGTAAATAGATTACATTCCCTTATACATTCTAAGAAATTTTCTGATTTGGCATTTTCTTCTTTTTTTGGTTTTCCTTGCAGGCAATGGCTCTTGCATTTTCCCGGGAAGGTGAGCAGTGAAGTGAACCATGTAAATGTTAATCCTTTTTATGTGAACAGCTGAATCTCTGAATGGTCCTGAATCCTTTCTATTCATAGCTCTGGGACTGGAACAAACCCTGGTGGTGGAAGTGGCGGTGGCAGTGGCGGCAGCACAAACTCCTCCGGTGGTTCAGGGAGTGCCGGTGGTCCGAGCTTCGCACCTCCTTTTACTCCGTTTGTACCAACGAACGGTGAAAATGGCGTTCCATGCCTACGAGTTCATAAGTTGGTTTACCTTTCACCTCTGGTATTTTTTTCTTTGCAAAATTTCCAGATCACATACATAAGAGGGATATAAGAAGCTGCATGTCTATTTTTTGCCCTTTCATGTACGTTTATCCTCATCCATATTTTGTTTTGTGATTGGTACCTCATCATGTAATTCGTTTATGATTGATCAGAGGACATTTAAAAGGATCAAAGTCGCTGTAATTTTTTTGAATGAACAATGTCTGTAAACTAAAAATTATGTGATTTTTTCAGAGTATCAGATGGTAAATTCCAGTTTGAATGATCTCCAGTGAACTATGAATCACTAAAGTGAGTTCTGGCAAAATATACAGAATGGGATGTCATATTGGCTCACCACTTCTTTGTATTTCTTGCATCTCTTCTATATGTACTGTGTTGTATAAGAAAATATATTGATTTTGTGGGTGTAATTACTTTGTCTTTTTTAAGTAAGATTTGTAAGAAAAGTTTGAATTTTTTCAATGGAGCACAAGTTGATGTCCTTGATGCTTAATTATTGGTAAAAATTGAGTGCAAATAGAAAGAAGCTGAAGATGTTCATTTTGATAAGATAATGATACATAATATGTTTTGAGAAATTTTAAAAAATGAAAGAAGATGATTGATGAACTGGTCATATGGCAAGCTCGATCCGTCTTAAAAATTGGCCCATCATCAAATCAATGTGAATCGGTTTGAGGAGAATTCAGCATCTTCAAACAAAAATGTTTAGATGTTAATCGAGTACTATTGCACCATTAGAGGACAGATGAAAGTCTTTCGAGTTCATCGAAGAGAAGGAAGGTGTTTGATTGACATGAAGAGTGCATTCGTAGCTACGATATTCTTCTCTCTTATTTGTGTATTTACTACATTTGATTATTTTTGCTTTTTGTTCTTATGATCAAAACAATCCACTCTTGTCTAAACAAACAAAAGCCTAAAATCTTCTTAAAAACAATATATAAATAAGCATATATATTTTATTTGAAACATTATTAGCTTAACCCACCAGTTTGGATTACATAAACCTTTTTTTTTTAAATCTAAAATCATCATTCAATTGTCCCTACTACATCTGAGACACCAAACATTTCATCTTCCTATAGACTTAAAACTTCTATTTATTATTTAATTCCAAAATGTCTCTTTCCCACAGACATCTGATTTGTCTTACACTTCACTTATCAGAATGATTAATTGCAATGGTAGATCTGGTATATCTTCAAAACTTTATCTAGATCGGATATGAATCTCAAGGCAAAGTTGAGTTGAAAGCTTCTAAAATTAAATTTGGGACCATCCAAACTCCGATTTTAGCAAACTTATAGTCGAATTGAATGTATCGAATAGACAAACCAAACTACACCAAATTTGACTCAATCCGAGCTCAAATGGGTCCAAATCGAAGACTCAACTTTTGGAAGGTTCAAACCACAATTTGAATTACCAAACGAAATTTAAATGTGACATGCTTATATTCAAATCAAGCAGCTCGATGAAAAGAATCTAACGAGCCCAAGATCACCAAATTCTGATATCATTAAGACATTCAAATGCCTAGTAAACGGTTCACAATCAAGGGGATCAATATCAGTCATCCATTCAAACCGCTTCTATCTTGACATTAATCCTCCGCATATTTACAAGTCATGCCAATTCCAAAAAAATATAAATAGCCTCTCATTCTTCACATGAGGGAGAGGAAGGAGGAAAGGAGGAGAAAGATAGAATTTGAGAGCTTACTTACAATCTACCACCGCTGGACTTTCGCTTGTTCGTCGACCACCACCGGGAATAATCCTAACAATCACTGGACTTCCACCCTTTCTTTGACCACCACCAAAGTTATTCCAGACCACCATCGGACTTCCGCTCATTCTTCATCCTTTGCCAGCTTTCGCCTTTCGTCGACCATTATTTGACTTCTGCTCATTTGTCGACCACCACCGGACTTCCGCCCTTTTGTCGACCACTGTCGAACTTCTGTCTGTTCATCAATCTCCGCTGGAGTTCTTCCCGATCACTGCCTAACTTTCGCACGTTAGTCAACCACTGTCGAACTTCTACTTTTTCATTGACCATCTCCAGACTTTTATCCGATTCTCCAATCTATTGTAATTCCACCGTCTCTAAGTGAAAGAACTAAACAAGTTTTGTAATTCATTCAACTTAGTGAAACTTTCTAATCTTGGCCAAACCCCATGGTTTTTCTCTTTCCAGGTTTTCCTCGTAAAAAACTTATGTTTTTTTCTCTCTCAACTATTTATTGATGTACCGGATATACAGATATTGCTCAGACGTTTTATTCTATTACTCTACTGCGTGTATATTCACGCCCGCAACAAGATCAAGGTAGGAAAAGGAAGATTAAAAAAAAAAAGTAGGAAAAGGAAGATCCCATGCAACTGTTCAAGATTTACACCATCATTTAATAGTACAGTTAAAACTAAAAAACAATAATAAAAAAAAAACAAATTTTACTGTAAAAATAAAGGTAAAGAATTTGATCATGTAAAGTTTTCTTGAATTTAAAGGCTTTTTCTTTTAGTTGCTTGAAGAGCTGATATCTTTTTTATATCTTTTAGAAAAAATTATTTGGACTTTTGTTTTACAATATATGTAATTATTAATAAATAAAAAGGAACATGAAAGCATCTCAAAATATATTTTAATTAATTTATTTTGATGAAATTTTTTACAAATGATAGGAGCTAAATTTTAGCTATTTATTTCTTCAAGTGAATTTTACTTATCACTTATTATTTTGAACTTTTGAGCGGCTCAATCTTCTCACCAAATCATCGAAAATAATACTTATAATTTTGATTTTTATTTTATTTCATCATAAATTATATTTATTTATTATGCTTTACAACAAATATAGCAATAAAACATTTTGTTTAAATCATAGAATATAAATTTATTTCTTTTTTCCCTCTAAATATCATATATATTATAAAAAATAAATAAACAAATTAATAATCTTCCCCATACCAATTAAAAAAAAAAAAATACTCCTTTTGCTTGAGAGTTTAAACGTCAACCGTATCTTTTCTTCCCAAGTACTCTCCCCTCGAATCACCAATTTTACCAAACACCATTATCGACTAAGATCTCGACCTCTCGCCCAACCCTTCTCCTTTGCCTTCCTTAAAAGCACCATTCCCCCTTTGTGAGCCCCACCCCACTATGTTCGCAGAGAGAAATATTGCAGAAAAACCACGTCTTTATAAGTAAAATGGCAACTCGGTGAGATCTTCAGAGATAGAGAGAAAGAAAGAGAGATGGGCACGCTTGCTCCTCTTGCAGAAGAGCCCGAAAGTGAAGAAGAAGGCTTATCTGCAAATAAAAGAGGCTCCTTTCGAAGCTGGCTGAAGAGCCTTCAGCTCTTCCACCGGAAATCTAATCTCAAAGTTCTCCTCAGCGTCATGGCCTGCCCTCTCTCTCCTGTTTCCATCTTACCAAAACAACTGCGTGGAGTTTGTTTTCTCTCTCTCTTGCTCGCATTACAAGCATAAAGATTAGATCTTTCCAGTTTTTTAATATTTGATATTCGAGTTGATGAATGACATATTGTCGTGTTAGCAATGTTGAGTGTGTTTTGAATGAAAATCGTCGCAATTGAAAAGTGAGAGAAGGAGGATTTCATGAACAAGTAATGAAATTTGCCCGTTCATTCAAAGCTAAAGCTCCAATTTTTTTCTGCTCGCTTTTGATTCAATGAATATGGCTTAAAGTTTGGAGAAATTTCAATGATTTAAATTTGTATTACTAATTGTTTATTAAATTAAAAATAATAATTTTAGTATTTTGCAGGTGGCCTCCTCAGCAGAGTACATAATACAGCAGTTTCGCGCGACCTCCGGCTGTGGCAAGCTGGAGAGAAATCCGGCTAAAAGCATGTTCGCCGCCGGCCGTGTGGAGATGACCGGAAAACATGGCCAGAGTGCCGCCGCAGCCTCCTCCTCTTGCCAAGAAGGCTCTTTTGTGATGTGGCAGATGTCGCCGGCCATGTGGCTTATCAACCTCAAGGTCGCCGGCCTGCACGTGTCTGCCGGAAGCGATGGCCACGTCGCGTGGCGCCGCACGCCGTGGCTCGCCGCCCACGCCGCAAAAGGCGGAGTACGGCCGCTCAGGCGCGCGCTACAGGCAAGTGGCACCATCAAATTCTGTGACTTTTTTATTCTTTTTTTAATGTTGGGCATGGAGAGGCAAAAAGATCAGGCTTTTTTTATGTAATAAAGCAACGAAGTCATAATCTTGAAAGTTTGGATAATTGAAGTATTAGCTTCAAATAATTAATTTTTAAAATAGGGTTCTTGTGATTATTATGTCCATTTTTTATATATTGAAATTGGAAAGATTAGGCCCTATGTAGAGACATCAATTAGGCATAAGAATAAAATATACTAATTCAAGTTTGAATTTGTAAGGAATGTAGACATCCACTTTAGACACAAGAAAAATAAGATTTTTTTCATAATAGGAATTTTAGATGTTTAGCATTTCTCTTCGGGAAGTGAGACCTTAATAGTCCAGAAATGAGATTTATGTTTCCATTGGGACGACTTTTTTACTATTTCTTAAAACAGCTTTTAAATACAAGATATAACATTATTGTATTAAAAAACTATTTTAAAAAGCAGTAAGAAAGCCGTCCCATACCTTCAAAAAGATCATTATCCAAAGAATATAAGACATTCATAAGTTAGCTTACTACCTAAGTTAAGTGAACTAAAAATTAGATGTACATTTAAGTTTTCACATTCTAACAAATTTGATTGTAAAAAAAAAAAACTTTTGATCATAAAAAAATTCTAAAAAATAGTGAGAAAAAATAATAATCAAATAAAAATGTGGCAACAGCATGAAAAGAGTAGGGAAAAAGCTATGCTAGACAAACACTTAGGCTTTGATTGGGAAGACTCTCTTACTGTTTTTTAAAGCATTTTTTAGTGCATAAATTTTAATTTTTGTACTAAAAAACTGCATTAATAAGCAATAAAAAAGTCGTCTCAAAGGAAACCTTAATCAACTCTTGAAACAAAAAGATCTCTTTAATTTTGAAAACCAATGTAACATGCATTGAATTGATCTATAATAGATCTATATGCTTTGAATTCATAACTTTTTTGTTTTACCACATCATTGTGCAGGGATTGGATCCAATGGCCATTGCTGCAATTTTCTCTTCAGCTCAGCACATTGGTGATAAACAAATCGATGAAGAAGATTGTTTCATTTTGAGATTAGAAGTTGAAGCTTCTAAACTATCATATCAAAGTGACAACACTGTGGAAATAATCGAACATGTAATGTTTGGCTCTTTTAGTGAGCGAAGCGGCCTTCTGCTTCACCTGGAAGATGCTCAGTTGATGAGAATTCAATGTCCTGGAGCCCAATCTATGTTCTGGAAGACCACCATCAGCTCCTGGATGAAGGATTATGAGCCTACTAATGGCGTCATGGTTGCTCGTTCAGGTCGATCTGTAGTAAATCTGGAGCAGTTCGGGGTTTCAGGAGATAAGACGATGAGTGTGTCGATGATAATGGAGGAGAGATGGATCATTGATGATGTTGATTTCAATGTTCCTGGACTCAGTGCTGATTTCTTCATTCCTCCTGAAGGGATAAAGAGGCTTTCATAGGAGCAAATTTTAGCTTGTTTTGCAAGAGAGAAGAAGGGCAAAATGATCGCTGATGACCATTTTAGTTCTAATATATCTAATATGTTAAATTTAATCCATAATAGTTCAGTAAGTACATAAATTTATTATATTTATAGACTAAAATTAAGATGACTCTATGTAAATAGTCTAAGACTTCGATTGAGATATCGTTCTTACTATGTTGTTTTTCACACTGCAATCACAATGTCGATTTGGCCGCTGCTTTTGAAAAAAAATTTCAACTAGAAAGTTGCTTTCTACAATAGCTTTAAAAGATTACTTTGTACAATAAAGTCTTGTGATAGTGTAATTTGGTAAAGCAATGGAGCTTAGATGAACCTCTCTTTGTTTTTGTGATGTATACTTGTTAACCATTATTATTATTATTATTATTATTATTATTATTATTATTATCATCATCATCATCATAATTATTAATTAGTATTATTAGGTATATTACTATTTATTTATTATTATTAGTATTATTATTGTTATTAGTAAAAAAGAGAGAGAAATAGCAAAACAAAAAAATGATGAAAGGAATTAAAAAAAAGGAAGAGAGAGAGAGAATATCTTTATAAGTAAAAAAAATTTATGGGCTTTCTTCTTGGGCCAATGGTTGTTGGCATTTTCCGTGGGCCCTTTCTATTTTATAAAAGTAAATTTATGTGTTGGCTTCTTCCTTGGGCTAGTGCCAATGGGCTTTTTTCATTGGGCCAATGGGGGCCTATTCCCCCAAGGATCCCACTGTAACTCCTCCCTTGCCTTTAACCCTAGTCTCCAAACTATGGTCTCTTCGACTTGCATTGCCCAACCACTGTTCTGCCAATCAAATGAATATGCCAACATTCTTAAGAGAGAATGACTCTCATGCCTATGAATTCTTTCAACTCCAACTATATAATTTGCTCTATATGATGTATATTTTTTTACATTGAGCCAATACATTCCTCCAAGGAAGGGTATCATTTGTACTCAATAACAAATACTATTCGAAATTTTCCCTTTTAAGATTTACAAGCTAAAAATTTTTTTGTCTCTAATGATTCTTGCACCCTCTCTCTCTTATCTAAATGTGTTAGATCTTCATATAAAACTAGAACGTAAAACTCTCAATCTCTCTACCACCACGAATATTCTGACACGCATTAAATATGTTACTTATTCTCTAATTAAGGACCATGAAATTAATTTTAATACAATTAACCCCATTAGTTAAATGATTATCATATTTGCAAGTTTACATGATTAATTTCACATGGTTCATACATGGTAGTGAATTTATCAAAATGAGTTAAGTATGTCTAATTATGTTAATTAAAATTAGTAAGCTTATATTATATAAAATTTTAGTATATCTAGGTTTTTTATTTTTACATAATTTTTTTTTGGTATTTATAACATCTCCAACTCAAATTTCAATATCGTTTGGTATGACTTTCTTGTTGCTTCTTAAAATAGCTTTTTAATACAAAAAATTAAAAGATTAAATTTTGTACTAGAAAGTTGCTTTAAGAAGCAACAAGAAAGTTGACCCAAATGAAGCCTAATATTAAAAAAAATGACTTTATAGACCCTATAATAGCAAAAATTGAAGAAATATTTATCGAGTTTATGTTCTTGAAAAAAATATAATAACAAATTTCACCAATCTAGCTCGAATACCCCAGCTTTTGATTATGAAGTACTTTCTTAAAGTTCAAATCTTAGGCTTCGTTTGGGATGGCTTTTTTATTGCTTTCTAAAACAACTTTTTAGTACAAAAATTTCTTGAATTTGAATTTTTTTACTAGAAAGTAGTTTTAAAAAGCAGAACAAAAGCTATCCAAAAAAAAAAACCCTAAATCACAAGTTCACAACCGCAGCTAACAATCAAAATT